GTCCGGTAAGCAAACTGAAGTGAGTCGATGGTGGCAGGAAGTGAAGAAGTGAAGTGAAGAATTTATGTGAAGATCTATTAAATGTAATATTATGCAGCACTGTTAAGCAGTTTTAAATCTAAAACTGATTTAAATGTTTAAGTTGTTTTCTGAAAGCTTACAAGTAGCGAAAAAAGTGAAAGAGTAAATAAAAGTGTTCAGGTAAACAGGTACATGTCCCTCAAGTTTAGAAAAAGTGGTGCTGCAGGAAATTTAGAATATATTATCTGTAATTCATAAAGTTCTGCATGCATGTAAAAAAAAAAAAATTGGGGGGCCATTTTAAAAAAAAAGTGAAAGTCACATTAGTTTAATCACATTTTTAAAGTGGGGCTGGGGTCACTCATTGCCCCCCTCTTTGGACACGCCCCTGGGTACAGGTGAGAAGTATTATTATAAAGTTGCACACAGTGGAAATACTTCAGTATTCGAGTACAGAGTACTGCCTGTGACTGTGGAGATAATCTGGACGCGTGTGTCACCAATTCTGTGTAGCTAATAAGCGCCGACGTGATCGCCGTAACATGTCGACGTCATAGTTCCAGCCGGTTTGCGCATGACAGTTTGTGAGTTTCGTTTCCAGCAAAGCGAAGAGAAAGCTGTAAAATGAAACTGTTTCTATGGCGCTGATGTTTACAGTGGGGTGAAGTACAACAAACGCTCGACCCTCTGTTGGTTTAGTGACCGTCCTGAGACCCTGAAGAAGAGCAGAAGGCTGCACTGATGTCTACTGGGATCTGCCATTTCTTTTCTAGACTTACTCTGGAGAATCACTTATTTAGTAAGCGGATCATTCTCAACCCGATGGTGATGTTTTTATATTATTTCCTGTTTGCTTGAGAACTATAAATACTAGTTTAAAGGTCCTACTTCAGCGAAATACACGAGATGCTTGTTAAATACGATTAAAGCTCCTCAACGATTCGTAGACGCACTCGTTATTAATTTCACAGTAAATAAAAACGGAACAATTTTGAAGTCAAGTTTTATTCACAGATAGGAAAAATTATTTTAGCCAGTTAACTTTCTAAAGCTGTAGTGCTTTCTCGGTCACGAACAATCATGAGTAATGTAGTGCACAGTGTGCCAAAAATGCGCTCACAGCCACTTTATTAGGTACACCTTGGTGGCGCTGGAATCTTTCCTCACATGACAGCATCGCACATTTGCTCCAAATCTGTTGGCTTTGCATCCATGATGGGAATCTCTGTTCCACCACATCCCAAAGGTGCTCTACTGGATTAAGAACTGGTGACCGTGGAGGCCATTTGAGTACAGTGAACTCATCGTCACGTTCAAGAAACCAGTTTGAGATGATTTGAGCTTTGCAACATGGTGCGTTAACCTGCCCGAGGCAGGTATCAGAAGATGGGTTCACGGTTGTCATTAAGAGATGGACATGGTCAGCAACAACACTCAGGTAGGCTGTGGATTTAAATGATGCTCAGCTGGTGCTATAGGGCCAAAGACAATACCCCCCACATAACTCCCTCTCCACCAGCAGCCTGAACTGTTGATACAGGGCAGGCAGGAAAAGCCATGCTTTCACGCAGCAGAAATTAAGACTCATCTGACTAGAAAACGTTTTTCCAGTTATGTATTGTCCAATTTTGGTGAAGCGTGTGAAGTATAGCCTCAGTTTCATGTTGGTTACCTAATTTTAGTGAATATTTGAGTTGCTGTTTCTACTCTTCTAATCAGCTTGAAGCAGTCTGGTCGTTCTCTTATGACCTCTGACATCAAACTTTACAGTGTAAACTCTAGGGATGGCCGTGTGGGAAAATCCCAGTATATCAGCAGTTTCTGAAACACTCAGACTAACAACCATGCCATGTTAAAAGTCACTAAAATCACCTTTGTTTCCCACTCTGTAACTCTGTTTCAACTTCAGCAGGTCGACTCGACCACGTCTACATGTCTAAATGCTCTGAGCTGCCGACGTGTAATTGGCTGATCAGATATATGAGTTAACATGCAGTTGAAAAGGTGTACCTAATAAAGTGTCTGGTGACTGTATAATCTAATCATTTACTGGCTGATCTGTTTAAACAATGCTAATAGTCATATAACTGATCATATTCATGTTCATATTTACTCATATTTATCATACTGGGTTGTTAAGGAGGTGGTAATGCTGTTTAACAAACCTTTAAAGGATTTCTGCACCTCAAAAGAACTCTTTAAACCTCATAAATTTATGACTGATTCATAAATGCTCTTTTGTCTGTTGTTGCATTTGACCTTCAGGTCAGGCATATTTCAGTGACACAGAAACCAAAATACTGACCGTGAGTCTGTGTGAAGTGAAGTCAACTTGCTCCACATCTGCTCAACACGGGGCCTAAAACTAATAAACCGAACAAGCCTCATGCTCTGTGATCTCTAAAACCATGATTTGCTATTTTAATAGAATATATATCAAAAATACGGGGTTCTCCACAGCTGACTGTGCTTTTCCATTTTTATTTATTTTCACACATGCACACACCCGCTGGTGCTCTGGTGGGTTGATGCACGGTGTCACAGGCTATTATTTAACCCTTGTTACTCTTACAGGGATGAGAGGCCTCTCCAACTATTGTCTATCATGCTGTGTGAACAGCTTGCTGCAGACTTTCTCTGCTACCTGGGAAATAGCAGAACTGCTAGAAAGGTAATCACACGAATTACTACAGCTGCTTTCATCTTGACTCAGTGATGTTGTAGTGCCACTTACTGTGGAAATCCTAAGGCTGTTTACAATATTAACAAGCTTTTATGAATTTTAAAAGGTGGGATGTAGCTGGTGCGAGAGGAGATGCTCGTAATGTCGCGCTGCATCTAAAGAGAGTTCTTGAGGCCATGCGGGGTGACCTCCCTCAGCTCGCTCCACATCGTGACTTCCTCCACTGTCTGGACCAAAACCGCTTTCGACGTAAGAGCCACGCTTTTGCAGAGAAAATACCTCCTGCCGATGTGTCTTATTTCACACCTTCTAATGATGCTTTACAGTTAATGTGCAGCATGATGCAGATGAGGTGTTCCTCTCGATTCTCAACTTCATTCACCAGCAGATGGACAACAGAGTTCTGGTTGGACTGCGATCAAACTACTCTAATATTATTCATTTCTGCATGTGTTATCTGCAACAGTGTTTGTTTGCATTTGCCCTCTCTGAAAGGCTGGGGAAATTCAGGATCTGTACAAGATTTCAGTGGAGACACACCTGCAGTGTTTAAAGTGCAACTCCATCCAAACTGAAACCAGCTACATGCTCAGCCTGCCGCTTTATGTAAAGGAGGACGACAACTCTCTTGTGGGTCTTCTTCTTCTTTTGTTTAAGAATACTAAAGCTGTTGGGAAACACACTATCTCTGTTTGTTATTTTTTCCCTTTTATTGGAGGCCGTATCTTAAAATCTCAAATTTTTACAGTTTATTGAAGCCAAAGATTTTAGCCAATCCTGATCCAATCATATGGGTGTAATAAAATACAGCATTTTCGACTGGGAAGTATTACATGGAGGGGGAGATTTTATAAATCCACACAACACAAGTGTAAAGAGGGAGAAAATGCACAAGTTTATTAGGATTACAAAAATCAGAGTCACCAGCAAATAGTCCAGCACAGAACCACGCATAAAAGATCAAATGAATGACATATGACTTGTTAGGTTACAAACCTTAGCTGTATTGCATTGTCACTGTTTATTTTACTCACTATTTATTTTGTTACGTTTGTCATATTTTCAGGAGGGCTGCATGAACTCTTTCTTTGAGCATCAGGAGCTCAAGGGCATAAACTCCTGCTTTTGTGCACACTGTGGAACTAAGAACCCATCCAGACAGGTGAGACTCGGGTTTAAATCGCCCTCCAACACATTGAAAAGGCTCTGATGAAATCAATTACGAGATATGTGAATGTGTCATTAATCTGTATTCTATCGTGTCAGCTCAAACAATCATTGTGAAATCTAATTGCTTGTTGTATAACAAATCTGTGTGTATCTATTTTTCTTCATTGCTTCAATCTAATAAAAATATCTTTGAGGAAAGAAAAACATATTTAAAGGGCTGAGTGGAATGAGTGGACGAGAGTGGGTGGGTGAAACATATTTGCCAGCATAATCATGAACTCACATTCACTCATTCGTTTTGTTCAGGGTGTCAAACTCCTCTCACTGCCTCGTATCTTGTGCATGAACCTGAAGCGATTTCGGAACAGCCGCGGTTCCACACACAAACTTGACTGCAGGGTTCCTTTCCCAGAAACCTTTGATTTCTCCCAGAGTCTCCAAGATGTGTTCTCCGAAAACTTTGCACAGGTACGTCTGAATTCTTTTTTACGTGAATATTGCATCTTTTGCTTGTGAATACTCTGATTATTTATTTGTTTTTCTTCCAGAATGAGTGCAGGTACACCTTGTACGCAGTGGTCGTGCACTCTGGTTATGCAATGTTTGGGCACTATACTGCTTACGTCCGCCACAGGGAGAACAAGTGCTGGTACTATGCAGATGATAGCCACGTACAGCAGGTACATCAGATCTAAAAAAAATAATTACAAATAATCACAGTATACATTTGATGTGAAAGTATCTGCAGATATCAAAGGGAGAGAGGGATGTAACTTTTCCCCCTCTGTGCTTTTTATTGAATTGCCAATTTCTGATGAATTTTCTGTCTGATTCTCATTCAAATCCACAGACCTCCTGGGAAGAAGTGCAGAGAACATATGGAGGACGACACAGGTAAAATGCCCAGTTTCTGACTGGGGTCATGAAGTCCTCTCACACATTTTACACTCATAAACATGAAGTTGTCTACAGCAGCTGGAAATGGCTCATCAAAGCTTAATGAGGACACATTTTAACCTAGTCAGTCTGATTCTGGTCTGAATATCTGGAGCAAGGAGGTAGTAAGACTTTGAAAACATTAGATTTTTTTGCCATCTTGTCACCAGCTACTTAGTACATAAATAATAGACTGTACATAAACGACCGAATGACACCGAAGCACCTTAAATCTGTTTTATTTTGACTCACCTGGTTCCAAAAAGACTTTAGAAACGCTTTCCTGGAGACATTAGTGCTACTTTCTACTTTACTGAATAAAACAGGCTGTTGGTTAAGTTATGATCCGCATTAGAGTCACAGTAAAGGCCTGCTTTATTTTAACAGGCTGTCGCCATATGACTGTGTGGTTTCTCAGTCAGATCCACCCTCAAAATGCCAAGATGACGATGGCGAAGGCTGAACAAACATCCCAGTAGCTTCTTTCAACTTTTTATATATGGCACAGACGTGAGAGTGATATCAAAAGTCTCATCTAACTGTGTCAAAATGTCAGTGTGTTGTTCTTAAAGAGGAAAGTGTGGAGAGACCAAAGGCTGAAGGATGTAGCCACGATGAGGTCAGACATTTCAACGCATCATTTTCAGCATTTCGCTGGTCGTGGTCTTAGTTTTTGGAAAAAAGGCGTCACTGAGGTGTGGATCGGACGTGATGTCTAGTTTTAGAATTAGAAGTCTTTTATCGTATGTTTTTGTGTGTAAATAAATTACATGGCTGCACTTACAGATGCAAAGAGAAAAAAAACAAAAAACAAATAGTCATTTGCACAGTAAATAAAAAAAGAAGGAACGAGTTCAGTGACCAAAAATGTAAGACACTGCTCACTGAGTTGGCTGATATTACACAGATGGGAAATTATTGCAGGAGTGGAAGATAAGGCGATAGTTGCTTCAGAGTCGGCCTTTCTTTGATTTGAGGGATCTGTAGCGCCTACTAAAGGGCAAGAGGTTGTACAGCTGAGAGCCAGGAGGATGTGATGGTTTTTAAAAAAATGTTTCTGAAGGTTCCTCCTCTCTGCACAAGCAGTGTCCACACAGAAAGGTTTAATTCTTCAGCCGGTGGATTCAAACCAAGACCTGTTTCCTGTGAGGTGACAGAGCTAACCAGACAGTGCGTGCCGCAGAATTAACACTCTACAAAACCCCCCCAAAAAACAACCTTTAGTTTTTAGTCTTCCACTTTTTCTAAGGATATTCATCTATTATTATCAGAGCACCTACATTTAGTTTGCAGGAAGAACCTGCAGCAGTCCATCTATTTATAACCGTCCCATTTCCTCTAGTTTATATGTCCTTCCATCCCCTGCAGTTTAAGAGCAAAAGTCACTTTTTCTGTTGATCACATTGAATTTGCTATATTTATGAAAAGACATCTTCTGAAGCTACCATTAAGCTTTCTTTGTTTGTTTGTTTACCTGCAGCCATGGCGATCTTTAATAGTTGTGGATCATCATTTTTTTCTTTTATCTCTTTTAGGAAAAAATGACAAATCTGCCCATAAACGTCCTTTCTGTCCAGTTCAAAGGACACAGTTTTGAAATTATTTAGTTCTTAGTTTGTTGTGTTACTCCAAAATGGCATTATACCTGTTAAGCTGTATCGTTTAGGCCTAGTTCACCTAGCCTCATATGTCAAACTGGCAGCTGCGTCGTTAAATACTTTACACTTTTGGGTCCTTTTGGTCCAGATGAATCGGGATATGTGCTTATCCCTCTCCCTGATATTCCCTGTTTAGTTGGGACCTCTACTGGAAGGTCACACATCATCATAGCGCCATCATTTTTCTCAAAAATAAGGCCCGAGGGCCAGAATCGGCCTGGCAAAGACTCCCACTGGACAGTTTTAGAAAATCTGAAGGAGGATGTACATTTCAGAATTTTAACTGTATTTTCACAAATTTTACAATTTTTCCTACTGAAAAAGAACTAAATGAAAAAGTATCCTCGGTGAATTAACGCAAACTTTCTGTTTCATAATTACAGGACAGTGTGAGCAATGAGCTACCAGAACTGATAGTACTGACAGATTTATTTCATGTCTTTATCACATAGAAAAATTGAGGAAATACTGTTGGAATTGCACCTCTTTTTCTTATATTGAGATATTTCAGGGATTAACTGGCTAATTAAACTTTTTTACACTGACAGTAAGGGCAGGTTCACTTCTCCGACACACTTAAGATCAATGTGGGCTGTAAAATGACACCGACAACCCTGCTCTTCTGCATCCGGAAGAGTTGCCCCTGCTGACTGTTAGAAAGAATGCAACTATGAGGTGCTTAGTGACTTCACCATTCATGTTTCCTACAGTTAAAATAGTTCAGAGAAATATGAAGGAGATCTGTTCAGAGAATTCTCTGCATTCGGGCTCTCACCTTAAAAAACTCCCTGTAAAACAACAGCCATGCCTAGAGCAAGGAGTAACCAAACATGTGACTCCCATTTTATCACACTTTAACTGGCTTCCACTTCTTTTCAGAGTTAAATCAGAGATTTTAATAATAACATTTAAAGCCCCATTTGCTTGACTCCTGCTGACATAATGAAGCTTTCATCTTTCTCCTTGCAGAAGGAGCTTTAGATTTTTAGACAAAGTCTTATTCTCTGCTCCGTGGTCTTGATTAAAGAGGTGATTGTGTTTTTCGCCACGAACACTCTCAAACTTTTGAACCCCTAAACAGAGGAAATCCGTCATGTCCGTCATGTTGTCTTGTCTTTGAACAACAAGCTGGTTTCTGGAAAACACCTGGAAGTTTTAGTTTCACTTTTCCTGTCATGTGAATTGAAAATGCCATCGTGGTTTCCTTTTCTTCCTTCCTTATTTATGTTGCCGTTTGCTATATAAGAATGCTTCATTGTTTTCTTTCTTCTTCTTTTGTTGCAGTAGAACGGCGTACATGTTAATGTACAGAAGAGATTCAGAAGAATGGAGGCCACGGCCTGAACTTTCTGGCTGAGTGGATGGGTGCAAAGAAATCAGGGGACATGGTGCAATAAAATATGGAATGCATTGATTTTATGGAAGTATTTCATGGGAATTTCTGACCTTTTTCCACAATGTGAAAGGTTTTATAGTCTATATTTTTTCCTGATCTCACTGAGCTCAACCAGCAAATGAATTTCTGTTAACCAGTAGGTGGCGTTGAAGACTTTATACAGGAAAGGGTTTTCCATCTCAGACCACACACACTGTGAACACACTCACTGGTACTGGGGGGTTGGTCTGAAGTGACTGCTTGGCTGAGATATTTGCTGTTTGGGGAAATACCTGCATTGAGATCTGGTGTGCATTTTCCTGATATAGCTGTTTATGAGTCATTCTTGAAGAACACTCGATGCATTTTTTTCTCATTTGGGTGACACAATCATCTTTTATTTGATGTATTCTGTCTATTTAACCACTATTAAAACTATGCTTGGGTATTAAACCTCCCATTATGTTATGTATTTGATGCTCCAAACCACAAATATATATATATATATACATATATATGTGTGTGCGTGTGTGTATGTGAATTACCTGAGAGGACCAAAAACATTGCAGTTGCAGCCAGTGCTTGGTATAACTGAGCCACTAAAATTCCCATTGTGTTGGCCAAGAGGTGGTTGGGGGGGGGGTTGACCGTGTGAAACAGTGCCTATGTGCTGCAGAGCTCTGACAGAATGGAACATGTCTACACGGTGCCAGAGGCAGCAGGCTTCATGCTTAGTCATCTCAATGGTTTCTGCATACAGGGTATACGTTCTCCTACTTGCAGCACACACCCCGGGGACAGGTCTTGAGTTGAGTCAGTGTCACAGATATGGTCAGCCGTTTATTGCTGCATTTGTGAGATCCGTATGACTCTTCCTCTGACTAAAGTGCAAAATCACCTTTAGAAATCCCGCCGCCGCAGATGATTAAAATGAGCTGAAAACATCAGCTACTTATATTTACAAGCATCACCGTGCAGGGTTTGTGTTAATCTGTTGCACAATGCCAGTGTCGGAAGAAGAACTCAGATCAGTAATTTATTGAGCTATAAATGCACTGAGTGATAAACTCAAAGAGTATTAGCCGCTGGCAAGAAATGCTTCCGGATGTGTAAATAAGGCGTCTGTTTGCTGATCAGATTGAAATGGGGTTTGTCTTTATTGTATCCATGTCCCTCAAGTAGTCATGAATCATCACTTTATCATGTTGGGGGGGGATTTGTGCGCCCTAGAGCAGAAGCTCAAGGGACCAGTTTACCCTGTTCAGGATGTGGTTGCTAGGGTCCCACCCTGGAGCCAGGCCTGGGGTAGGGGTTTGACGTCTTGTGGATTGGGCTTCTCTGCTGTGACTGCTGACCCCATAAACAAAATGGATTTATAATCTTGTGATAAATATAAAATGCAGTCGTATGATGAAGATCTCAGTTCTGTAGCTCCTCCTGCAGAACCTATTTAACTATTATGTGCTATTATTAACTATTAGCATATTAAATTGGCAGTTTAATCTATAAAATCAGAATGACATTTCATTTGTTGCCATTCAGATTGGCAAACCTAAGCTGCCAGTAACTTACAAGAAGACGAAGAAGAAGAAAAAAGACAGCACATTTCTTTCTAAACTGGAAAACCTCAACATTGTGTTAATTTACTGCAACCGTACCACAGCCTTATAATAGTGTGTTGAGTAAAAGTCACATTTGGTATGTACATCCGTTTTGTTTCTCCATTTCCAGAGAACGGCTTCTTCCCTTTTATGTTTAGGGTTTTGATTAATTATTCATGTTGTAAGACCATGTGCAAAGCGCATGTTGGATGAGCACCTGTCCGCCCCCGCATTGACTTTGACCACATCACAGGTGCTAAAGAGTGCAACAGCATGACGCATCCAGGGCACCTTTGGGCTGTAAAGTCTGAACGACCGGACGTCTTTCTTTTTTTTTTTTTTTTCAAGCAGAAATGCGTGAGGTCTTTGGCTTTATTTTTTGCTTGAGCTTAGATCCCTGCATGCATTTACTCATACTTTTATGGCCGATCATAATCTCTGCAATTAAGTTTTTAGCCATTTATTTTGGTCAGGTGTTACCCAGGCAGCCAAGGCCATCTCATGCTGGCATATAGTTTGTGAAGGAATGACGGTGCTTGTTACCCAGTGCCATTAGGCACGTAGGCCAGAGCAGAAGGCACGATACTCCTCTGGGGTGTTCAGTGTTTCTTTTGGAGAATATATCGAAGTTCATTAATGCTTTTAAGTCATTGTTGATGTGTGTTTACCAGTTACTAGGTGAGCACACTACTGTGATGTGTGGAATTTGGCTATTTGAGAAGCACTCTTAAATTTTCCCTTTTTTGTGTGTGTGTGGAAGATTTCACAGGCTTAGATAAATGCATGTGACTGCTTTGATATATGTTCATATATGCTTTTTAAAGCAAGCGCGCAAACAAGTCTCACAGCCTTTCTTTTGTTCGATCGCCACTTCACGTCACTTATCAAAGAACGGCGCTCATGCTTTTCTGCCAAGAAAGGTCAGAGAGAGCGGCGAGGAAGCAGTTAAGCTGAACTGTGAACTGGTGGGCAAACTCTAATAGACACAAAAGCTGCAATTCCTTTTTTTACTTGCCTTTTTAGCCACGTTACCAACACATCTATGTCTGTCTGTCCAATATTTTGATCAAAACCGAAACTGAATTGCACAAAAGTTTCGTCTCATTTAGTGAACTGCAAACCTGGCAATCCCATAGCTTCAGCTTTAGTTTGTTGTGTTGCCAGATTATCAGTCTGTGGGGTCATTTACAATCAGCAACTCTTAAAATACTTAAATACACAATTATTTTGATATGTCATTATTGGTTTTTCATGCTAGATGGCTGATTTAGACCCTGCCTGATTATTTATTGCACCCCCTACTAATGACTCGATCATATCCCTGACATATATATACATATCATTAACCAGTGAACAGAAACATACTAGCACTAAGCATTCTAAACTGGGGTGGCACAAAAGTGGACATAATATTTGATTGCTCGTACCCCCACCCCCAACACACACACACACACACACACACAATTTTATTTTTCTGTTTCCCTTTTATTATATACTTCCAAATGACAAGAACAGTCACCTCAAGATGCTTTATGTTGTAAGGTAAACCCCACAAAATAATACATTCAAAACCCCAACAATCAAATAACACTCTTTTATCAATCACTTGGAGACAGTGGGAAGGAAAAACTTCCTTTTAACGGGAAGAAGCCTACAGCACAGGCAGCCTCAGGAAGGGATGACAATCTGCTGCAACTGGTTGGGTGTGGTAGATCTTAAATGTTCAATTTGGGAACCCAAAATTGTTTGATGTGAATACAAGAAGGAGGTCTTGTTCCACCAACTCTTAGCGCTATCTGAAAAAGTATTCCCCCACCCACCCTTGACCCCAACAGTCACACAATCACACATGGTGGTTGTGTGGTGGGCTGGAGCTGCTTTGCTCCTTCAGGACCAACGTTGGTCAAGTTGCTTGAAAAAAGTAATCAGTAACTAATTACTGATTACTTCTCAGAAAAAGTAATTCATGTTACACAACCTGAATAGGTAATAAAGCAATAGATCTTAAGCCCAATTCTACTTTTTCTGCATAATCCATCATATAAAATGTAATCAAATGAAAAAGTCTCTTTTAAAAAACTTGTTTTATTAGTTTTAACCTTTTAACTTTATGCACATTGCATCAAGGCATAAATTATATGCAACATCATTTAATTATGCAAACGTCTGTTAAAACAAAGGTTGCACGTGCTTACGTCATTGTCATGAGACACTCTTGCAAACAAAATCACGGTTTAGTAACGCACTAACGCAGCGTGCTTATGGAAAAGGAACAGTAATCTAATTACTTTTTTGCAATAGCAATCTCTTACTTGTTACTTGAAAACAGTAATCAGATTACAGTAACGCGTTACTTGTAACACATTACTGTCCATCTCTGTTCAGGACCTGGATGACTTGATTGATGGAACCATGAAGAAAACCAGAAAATCCTTAAATCTGAAAGTCCATCCATTTGTGCCCAGAAGCACAAGTTCACTTGGGTTATGCAGAAGGACAATGATCCAAAACACACCAGCTAGTCCACCACCTCTTAACCCAAAAATGAAGGTTTTGGAGTGGCCTAGTCAAAGTCCTGACTTAAATCTCATTGAAATGCTTTTGCATGACCTTAAACAAGCCATTCACGCTAGAAAACCCTCCAATACGACTGAATTAAATCATTCTACAATAAAAAAAAAAGTAGCCTAGTTGACTTGATAACTTGACAGTTAACATAAACACTTCTTTGTAATTGTTGATGCCAAAAGTGGCACAACCAGTTAAGTTTAGTGGGCAATGATTTTTTTTTTCCACATAGGTCCTAGTAGGCTAGTTAGTTAACTTCCTTTTACGTTATCTTAATTTTTGTGCTTAGAGTCACCAAGGGTGAGTTTGAAGCATAATATTTTGTCTGAGACCTTTTTGATATGTTGGTGGCAGCTCTTACTTTGAAGGGGAATCCTCTCCATTTCATTGTTGCTCAGTCAGTAGATGGCAAGCACTCAGTTGGAGTCTTACATGCCAATTAACAGTTACTGTGGCAGTCTGCTTTTGACTGAAGCAATCACAGGGAGCTTTTTTGGCTCGACACCCTCTTTGTGAATCTTTCAGCCAGCTGCTCCAGTCGAGAATACACATTTTTTCCTCCTGATTAAACGTTGCCACTAGGCCACGTGACTGAGACCTAGTGAGCCTTTTTGTAGTTATATTTTAGTTTATTACAATGAGTATGGTCAGCTTAAAATAAATACAAAAAATGCATTAGTCAAGTTAGTTTCAGTTGAGCCATGGCCATCTCACAGACTAGTTTTAACCTGTAAGTTACACACCCTTAGATGTTTTTTTTTAAAACTGTGTTTTCTAGTAATCACACATTTTGAATGCTGATTACCCATTTACCCTGACATTTTAACTTGTAAGAGTAAATGGATGCAACAGGTTCACCTCTCACCAAATTTGTGACTGCATTATTTACTGACGCTTGTTTTCGCAGCTGTGCTGGAGCTGTTTTCATTCAGAATTTACATGTTTCACCATCTGGTTATATTTTTACAGCCTTAAAAAAGGAACCAATTCATGCACCATCTCTTTGCACTTCTTCTTTTTTTGGTCCACAACAGATTGTGAATAGTGGTTGGTTTAAATTGCAGGAATACGCCCCTTTGAGATGTATTTGTTAGCAAAGACATTTCCTCCATAATGTCAACCCCGAGACCCTTTAACAAGCCTCGTCATGCTCCTGTGTAACCTATCTAGCAGCAAATCTTTTGATGCTTTGGGACTGACGAGCGGGCTCGCACAGCCATTCTATGGTTATGTAATGAGGTTTCAAATAGGAAATGATACTCTTTTTTTTCTCTCTCTCTGTCGTGTTCAACTTGCAGGCCCTGGTGACCATGGTGAAGTCTGCTTTTGTAAATAGCAAACA